CTGGATTGTGTCTGACCGATGTGCATTTTATGATGAACGATTGGGCGTTCCCAAAGATGTCGGAGATGGGTCTTTCTTGTGCAGGCCACGAAGGTGCTGGAGTGATTGTGAAGATTGGTGAAAACGTGAAGAGTTGCAAAGTCGGCCAGCGAGCGGCATATGGTCCTATTCACAACACATGCACTTTATGCGAGTACTGCAAGTCGGGAAGAGAGACGTACTGCCAGCAAGCAGTCTATACAGGCGGGACAGTGGACGGTACGCTCAAGACTTGCCCTCTGCGTGGACAGGCTGTGTATTAATCCCTCGCAGGAACTTACAAGCAGTATTGTGCTGTCCCAGAGGGGTTTGTCCATGTGTGTTGCAGAGCGAATCCTCAGAAGTTGAACGAACAGACACTGATAACATGTCGTGAACATAGCTAATCCCCGAGGTATCTTGACCAGACTGATGTCAGATGTTCACCCAGCTAAAACAACGAACAGGGGGTTTCTGACTACGTGGCAGGGCCTGCGATGTGCTCTGCAGGTACCATGTACTCTTCGCTCAAAGAATCCGGACTTAGAGCGGGTGACTGGGCCGTTTTCCCTGGCGGAGGCGGTGGAACAGGCATCCAGGGTGTGCAGCTGGCCTGTGCCATGGGTATACGAGTCGTGGTGGTTGATACTGGCGAAAGTCGCCGGTCGCTCTCGCTCAGCCTTGGTGCCGAAGATTTTGTTGACTTTTTGACCGAGGCAGACCCGGTCAAGAAGGTCTTGGAAGTCACCAATGGAGGTGCTCACGGCGTGTTTGTTAGTGGTATGTGTTCCTTGAAACTGGTATGGCTGTTCGTAATTGAAGCTGACGTAAACTAGCTGTCCAGGCTTATCCGGTCTCGCTTGGCTACCTTGGTTCACGTGTCGGTGGGGTGGTTATGTGGTATGTCAAAACACCGTACATCTTCCAATTGAGGAGAAGCATATATGAATTTCATTGGAAAAACAGTGTTGGACTCCCGCCCAAGGGTAGATACCACATTGATACAGATCCTACCCAGCTTTGCTTGAACAATCAATCAATCAAGGGTACCTTGTCAAGCAGTCGGAAGGATATAGCAGAGACACTGGACTTTGCGAAACGAGGTGAGACTCTCACAATGGTGACAGATGAAGCAACGGTGTTTACTGTTGGTGTTGCAGGAAAGATCCACCTTGAACCTGTCGTGGTTGGAATGAGCAAGTTCAATGAAGCCGTCCAAAGGCTGAAAAATGGACAAGTGGCAGGGTAAGTACTGAGCCACGATTTGGTATGGGCCGCTGATGTATGTAGGCGCATAGTGGTAGACTTCAACCTTCCCTAAACAAGAAATGCACATGCCTGAGTGTCAGCCAGCAATGAAGAAGCAGGCCTTCGTTGAGATGGCATCATGATAGGTGGAAAAAATGCAATGCGGCTTCACTAGTGTTTGGTATATTGGATTTAGCAGATTGATAAGCCGTCGTTCACGTCCATGCGTCCACCAGTCGTCTCTGAAATGTTGTAATTAATTTTTCGCCGAAACGTCTCTCTACTGAATCATTGTCCAAGCAGGGGCGAGGAGCGAAGGTCAAGCTAGCTGCTATAAAATCTGATCTCGTTTATGGTTCTCCAGCTTGACGTTCTCTGCTCAGACATCAAGGCCGCATTTCCTCCCACGACGCACAAGATCCTATCTTACCGATCATCTAATTCGCCAAACTCGATGGATCTTCGCGCAATTTGCTCCAGATACGCGGCCTGCATGAGCGAGCGCAAATTTACACAATTACCGGAGTTTGTTCATGATGGCGTCATCTACAACGCACAGCCGCCGATGACCAGCGAAGATTATGGCAGGATGATTGATGGAATTGTTTGCCAATTCGACAATTTTAGTCTTGTTCTGGAGATGTTAGTTGTGGATGACGGCTGCTCGACCGACCTAGACGGCATGGTCTCAGCAAGATTCAGGCTGAGCTATGACTCTCAGAGCGAAAAGTTGGTGAAAGATCGCGTGGTGTTCTACGAGCACGTGTTCTTTCAGTTCAAGGAGGGAAAGATCATAGAGATATGGCCGCTGGTTGCTTGGCCGGAAAAATGAGGCCAGATTCACCCTGGAGCAATTGACGGCGATGCCAGTCAAGAGGATGTTAGCACGGTGGAAAACGTATAACTTCATTGCGTATAGTCGACTGGGGGAGGAGAATGGAGTGGCAAGAGCGGAACAGCTATGTATACTGTTTATCTCCATCCTTATTGTTGCTGGAGCAATTCATGTGCTAAGAATTGTGCCTTCGACTACCTCATGGCACATAGGCTGTTTTCTTTTGATCGCCTCCATAGACTGGGATCCTTTCCCATAGCCATCAAAAGTCCCTCGCTACGCCTGTCAAGTTCCCTCACTTACGACACAGAGCACTCGGATGACTGTCTTTCAACAATCCAGCCCTGGTAATCTTTCTCCAAAGTCTCATCAAGCATCTGCATATATGAAGGGAGCCCTCCTGCCCAACTGAGAGGCTGCACTTTTTTGCCCGGGATGTTCGCACCGGTCCACCAACTGTGGGAAATGTCAGTGAAGGACACACACCTTTTGAGCAGCAGAGATACTTATCTTGCCTTGAGGGAGCAGAGTTGCCTCCCATCGCTCACGAATCTTCTCTACCCAACTATCTGCTGCTTCCTCCGTGGGTTCCAATGTTTCTATGCCCTCGGCGAGCATTTTCTGGACTAATTTCTGGAACCACTGGCCCTGAAATTGAATACAGGACGGGCCGTTTCTGAGAAGGTATACTGTTAGCTCCGGAGAGGCTGGTGCAAAAGGGTTCGCCTACGAGAATGTTGATGGCGCTTGCGGTCCAAACAGAAAGAACAGGTTGGGGAACCCGGGGATGGCTACCCCCATGGACGTTTTGACTCCGTCACTCCAGTATTGCTTCAGAGTCCTCCTCCCAACGCCTTGGAGATCGATATCCATGAAGCCACCTGTCAAGCCATCGAAGCCGGTTGCGAGAACAATCAAGTCCACATCGACTTGGCCCGCGGCGGTGCGAATGCCCGTCGCGTTGATTTCCTGGATAGGGAGCTCGTTCAAGTCAACGATGTCGACATTTGGCTGGCTGAGAACCTCGAAATAGTTCTGTTCTAGCGACGGACGCTTCGCGCCAAAAGGATGCGGCGGAATCTCCGGCGCCAACAGCCGGGCTTTCTGGGGGTCCTTGATGCGTTTCAGGACCATGCGGCGCCAAAAGTTGTAGGCGGCATCGTTGGCCTTTTGGTCCAAGTTCAGGTCAGCGTAGCCTGCAACCCAGAACTTAAAGCCGCCGTCTTGTATGAGCCGGTTCCAGTACGCTTCGCGCTCTTCACTTGTGTCATCGAAGGTCTTACGGCCATTTGTTTCGTACGGCACTCCAGCAGAGGTCTTCTCGCAGGCTTTGAAAGCCGCCTCGTAGACGCCACTATCTTTCTTTCTCTGCTCTTCCACAGGATCTAGACAACGCTGCTGCATTGGGAGACTAAGGACGTTTCAGAATGCGTCCGACGTCGGATGGGCGGCAACTCACCAGAAGTTAGGGGTGCGTTGATACACCGTGAGATGCTTGCAGACTTTACCGGCTTCTTGAATCACCTGAATCCCACTGGCCCCAGTCCCGATGACGGCGATGCGTTTATCTTTGAGAGCGACATCGTGGTGTGGCCAATGAGCCGTGTGGAACATCTCGCCTTGAAAGTCGGCAGAGCCTTTGAGGTACGGTTTATACCTATTCGACGCTCAGTCATGCTGCAGAAAGGTTGTATGAGATCTCAACACACTTACTCCTTAGCCGCAAAGCCCACATTCGCGAACAACCATTTGCATCGCGTCGTTGTTCCGTCAGAACACCCAACCGTCCATCGTCGACTATGGGGATCCCAGTGCGCATAAGTAACGTTTTTGTGGTACTCAATATCTTTTCGAAGGTCCCATTTTTTCTCCACATGCTGAAAGTACTTTTGCAGTTCGCGGAATCCCGGGAAACGTTCAGAGAAGGTAAAATCCTCCCAAATCTCCCGGTCGAAGAACTGGTAGGCCGGTGAGTCGCTGTCGACGCGGGCACCCGGGTCTGAATGATGAGCTTCTTGCCAGTCATGAGGAATGTTTCACCTACACTGATTCCAATGCCTGCAGAATCTTTTAGTCAGACAGTTCAATCACTTTTCTCACGGTGGGAAAACACGAACCAGACACCTCCAGAGCCCGACCCTCGTTCGAATATCTTGGCTTGAAGTCCTAATTTACGCAGCTTCGGAAGCATTGTAAAGCCTCCGAAGCCGGCACCGACAAGTACGGCGTCATACTCACGGCTCTCCCCTATGGAACCCATTTCCTGCCAAAATCCGGTCTGGTGGCGGTGAGCAATCTGCGTAGTGGGTGCTGCTGTCGAACGAAAGCGCAACCCTTGTATGAAGGGGATTTGAGGAACGAGTTGGAGATAGAGTCGTTAAACACGCGAATCGAAACTGTGTTTACAAGACCGATATCTGCTAGAAGCATTTATCGGGTCATGAAAACTTCCCCGGCGCGGCGAGGAATCATCGCGGCGCAGTCGAGTCTGAACCTTGCGGAGAGGGATTCGGCGATGGAGGTCTTTGACCTGGGCTGGGCCCATCTCATGGTCATCACTGGTATGCCAAATCATCCTTCTCTTTCACGGCCAAGTGGTTGGACGTGTCTACATCATCGGCCAACTCTTTTCGCCGAAAAGGGGACCCGAGTCTCTCGAAGAATGGAGCTTACGATCTAGATTTACCCGCCTCGGGTACGCCGCACCCACTTGCGACTCCGAAGCCCCAGGCTGGCTTCCTCATTGCAGCTAGCTACCAAGTCTTTCCGCCGGCAAGGCTGTACATGGCACTAATCCCAGCCTTAGTTACAGCCCGAGAGGATTGGATTTATTCCACGAGCGGATGCCACTTTCGCTTGCCATGCGCTCCCAACAGCACCTTGTTCATTTACCACCCACATGTCAATGGCTCACCATAGTGAGATCAACGGCGTCGCCACTTACGCGACCAAAAGCACACCCAATGGCACCAACAACGGCGTCGGTGTCACGTCTGAAACCTTCCCTGAGCCAACTGCCCATGCCGGCGATATACAAAGTCTGAAAGGCGCGAGCACAGTATTGAAACCTCTGCCAGCATACACACCCAGAAAGCTTCGCGTTATCACGATTGGCGCCGGCTATTCGGGCCTCACCCTGGCCCACAAGTTCCAGCATCAACACAGCGACCTTGCCGACGTGATCGACCACACGATCTACGAAGTCAGGTCCGAGCTAGGCGGCACTTGGCTGGTAAACACCTACCCTGGCGTTGTCTGCGATGTTCCGTCGCACATCTATGTACGTGCTCAGAGTTTCTCAATGTCTGTATGCTTTGACGCTGACCGGCGAAGGCTTTCCCATTTGACCCCAATCCTAGCTGGACTCGGTTCTTCTCAACCGGCCCTGAAATCTGGGCATACATGAAGAAAACGGCTCAGAAGTGGAATCTCGAGCGGGACGTCAAATACAATCATCGAGTCACTGGCGCCTATTGGCAAGAAGGTCGCGGTCAATGGCAGGTGATGGTCGAGCATAACAATAATATCATAGAGGACTATGCGGACATCTTAATATCAGCGCAAGGCTTCCTGAAGTGAGCTGCTCCCCCCGACGGGGAAATGGTCGTCAAATGCTTCGAAAAATTCTGAAATGAGCTGACTTGTGAGTTACAGCACCTGGAACTGGCCATCGATTCCTGGATTGTCGCAATTTACGGGCAAGAAGGTCCATTCGGCCAGTTGGGACCACGAATACGACTACAGCAACAAGAGAATCGCCGTGATCGGGAACGGGTCATCGGGAATTCAAATCCTGCCTCAACTGGCCAAATTACCGGGCACGAAGGTAACGAGCTTTCAACGAGGGCCTACGTGGGTGGTCAGCACCATGAACCCGGCGTCCCTGCTTGGAAAGAACGACCATGCATATAACCCTGAGTACACCGCCGAAGAGAAGCACGAATTTGCGAACGATCCCGGGAAACACCATGAATATCGCAAGAAGATAATACACAGCATCAACGACGGTTTCAAGATGGTATGGTGTCGACCCACGGGGGCGATTATATTCTCGGAAATTTGATCGCTGACAGACAAGCACAGTTTGTGAAGGGTTCGGAGCTCAATCGGCAGATTTATGATCTTGCCCGTGGACAGATGTCGAGCAAATTACAGAACGACCCGGAACTCTGCGAATTACTCATTCCGAAGTGGGAGCTGGGTTGTCGGAGGATCACCCCGGGCGAAGGTTATCTGGAATCCTTCTTGCGCGACAATGTTGAGCTCACTCAAAGTCCCATCACAAGGATTGATGCCGACAGTGTCGTTACCGCCGATGGAAAGACCTACAAGGTGGATGTTGGTAAGGGTGACACATCCTGACGCACCCCTGCTAAGAGGCCTGGCGAGCTAACACAGCGCGCGAATCCAGTCGTGTGCGCCACCGGATTCGACGTCTCCTATCGTCCTCAGTACCCCGTCGTTGGTCGTCACTCGGTGAATCTCGCCGACAAATGGGCGGACGAGCCTTCATCCTACTTGTCACTCGCGTCGGCCGACATGCCAAACTACTTCATGTTCACCGGCCCGAACGCATTAATCGGCCACGGCTCTCTGATGGAGAGTTTGGGATGGAGCGCCGAGTACATGATCAAATGGATCCGGAAGATTGCCTCGGAGGACATCAAAGCCGTCGTCCCCAAGCAGAGCGCTGTGGACGACTTTATTGTCTATTCGGACCAGATCCACCAGACCTTGACCTGGACTGGGGCCTGTCGGAGCTGGTACAAGAGCAACACCGTCGACGGGCGCGTGACGGCCACCTTTGCCGGCAGCGCGTTGTTGTTCAAGCGGCTTCTCCAGGACCTGCGGGCCGAAGACTTTGACATTGAGCCAAGAGAGAAGAACCGTTTTCGTTTCTTGGGCAACGGATTCTTGGAATATGAGTTGCAACAGGGAAATGACCTAGCTTGGTATGTGGAAAAGTAGTATCTCGAGATGGCGATCTGGGTATATACATGCGAACTTTCGTATACCTTTTGGAATATCGCAATTGCATTCTAGAAGCCGGGATCCTCCCTTAGTACGCCTGTCGTCCTCAACTATCTCGTCGCAAGAAGCCGCACTAGCAGACGTCTTGTAGAAATCGCCTGCTTCCCCTCTTTCCCTTTGACCTCTTCCTTCTCTTCATAGAGAAATCTCTGCAACTCTTCGTCTTCCTCATAACTATATTCCTCTGGAGGCTGAGCGCGAGGAGGAAAATCAAAGGAGGCCGTTGCAGAAGGTTGGCCAGTAGTGGATAGCACTGGAAACACGATAAATATTTATTCCTCGTTGTCGATGCTACCCCCTCCCTCTTTCTCTTCTTAACGATAGATTCTTCTTCGCTCTTCTCCGATGGGTTCTCCGCTGACGCCTCCATCGAATGTTTCCACCAGCTCGAGAAGTCGCTCCATTCACAATAGAAGAGTGCGCTGAGGTATCGGTGCAGATGCTCGTGATCCTCCAGCCCTTTGGCCATCATAATTAGTTCAAGCTGCCTCTGGTTCCCCAATACAGGGTCACCCAGGAGGATCGTCTTTCTCCTTTTCTTCTTGGGCCAGAACAGACGAGAGACGATCGCAGCTGCAACTGCCAATGCAAGAGCCATCCATATCGACCACTGGCCCACTGATTTCTTTATTTCCAACTCCAGCAGCCATCTCTGGACACTGATCTCTGCTTTCACTGTGGGCAGTATGGTTCCGACGATGCAGAGAAAATATGATCCTACTGCCCAGATGTACCACCTGGTCGCCAGGATCTTAGCCAGGCAGCATCGCCATTTCGACTCGCTTAACTCGAGGACGGCCAATCCATGAAACTGGATGAACCCGCAGCCACAGAATTTCTTCATGGCCCAGTGGATTCCCCTGAATAACTGCGTCAAGATTTGTATCTCGACAAAACAAACCTTCAGAAAGAGCCAAAAGTACCGGACCCATATCACCACGTGGATACAGAAGATGCGGCCTTTCGATCGACTCTGCGTGTCCCGGACGACGTACTTCATGCGTATGCGACAGAAGATCCAATTGCGTGCCTCGCGAGGCATCACTTGAGCGTTGGAGATGGCGCATTGCAAAGTCGGACCTAGCAGAAAAGTACCAGACCCAGAACAAAGACAGCCAATTGTAGTCTTCCTTAGTTATCCGTGGAGCCTGCACCAGCCAGTCATTGGCCTCGAGCTCCAATCCAATGAAGAGTTCATAGGGCGCATTAGGTCTGTCGTCAGGCAGATCTGGGACGGTCTCGCCTCCGGGGCTTGGGAGAAGATGGAGAATGTGATATCGCATTGGAGGCTCAAAATTAGCCAGCGCTCAGCGGTCCATATGAGATGCCAGCAAGCCCTATGTTCACTTTTGGTATCTCTGAGCCGTTAGCGCACTCGGTGAAGATGTCCCTCTAGTTGTATTTGTTTGTGTGATCAAAGGTTTTTCAAAAGAAAGACGAGTTAATACCAAGGCTTGAACCTAGAAAGCTGGGTTCGGGTCGGGTCGATCGTCCCGCAGAGTTCAGCCTCGCTTAACATAACCGCAGTTGTGGGCTTGAGAAATAAGCAGGGCCTTTCACCTCTCCTGGCTCGACGTACTGTCTATGCTGCACGAGCGACCTATGGCATTGACGATTTTGTATCATACAGCCCTATGGCTAAACACCATCCTACATAATCAATCCCAAGAGGTGTGCGGAAACGAGGAAAGAGCATTGTAGGCCTCTCCTTTGCCCTTGTCCCATGTCTTCGCCGTGCTTTGGTGCTTTAGGAATGAAGACAAAGTATTAGCGTGTGCGCAGCCAGTCCGATCTCTCTTCCATAAACTCCTCCACCTGCATATGGGCCCTCACCAAGTTGGTCAAGGACAAAACCTTGTCCAAGGTATGGTCGATGTGGGCAGCCGAGAACCCCTCGTAAACTAGATCCCGCATGTTCGCACTCGAGGTCTCGATCGCCTCGTTTATCTTCGACAATATGCTGATCAAGTCGTTGCGATGTTGAGAGACCGTCAACTTATGGCTTCCATCACCAGATGTCGCGTGAGGAATGGCAAGAGAGTTGATCAAGTGATCTAACGACTGAGTCCATAGCCGAAGCTCTCCGACACGGGCCTCTCTTGCGATTTCCAATTGCCGGCCAGTGCTCCGCGGCAACGGGCTGAAGATATACTCCAAACCTTCTGACAGTTGCCCGACGGACGGGACAGTTGGATCCAGGAAGGACGGTCGGAGTTTTGGAGTGAGACTTTGCTTCAAGTCTGCCAATGCCCTTGCCCCCTGGCTTTGGCGCCTTATGTTGATAGAAACGATCTTAGGTGGGAGCTCTTGTGGCGGCTTGATGCTGGGAGAAGGGGCTACTGCCTCGACTGCGGACATCGCACTGAACGCCTTGATAATAGGGGCAGGGGCTTGACCGGAGGGAACGGAAAGCATTGCAAAGTTTGCCATGTTTAAACCCGGAACCCTCTTGTTGAACATGCCTATTGGCACATGGTGAGCGGCAACAGGAACGATTTCTCTTGGAGCGAAGCCGCCTGCTCTTACAGAAGCGCTTTCCGCTGCGCCTCCACTGGAACCCTCGAGTTCATAGTCCATGCCCATCAGAAATGCACCAGGAGTTGCCTGTTTGGGCCGCAACAGCATCGAATGCATGGCTTCGACAAGCTGCGCCAGAGAGCAATTCGACTGTACCATGTTGTCATGAAACTCTTGCATCTTCTCCGCTTGAATCTTGTTGTGTGCGTAGATCTTCTCAGTCGCCGACCTGTACCGTTATCAGCTGCGAGCCACGAAACCACCGCACGATTGAAATCCTGGGAGGTTGGGCCCCAGGCGATCTTACCAGTGGAAGGTACTCAGAACCAGATTGATGGCATCAACGTGTGACTGTAACCTGTCGCGGTATGTCTTCAGTGAGTCCTTATCCATATCCCATGTGATCTTTGCCCAGTTGGAGGCGATTGCATTCCTCAGGCGCGTCCTTCTTTTCTGTCCTCGACTGGGACCAGAGTCACCCTCGTTACTGGAGATCATGACTCCGTCGCGATATTTCTTGGTCACATTGTCGAGGTCTTCTAGTGTAACTGCACAATTCTGTATCATTTGGTCCAAAGCCTGCTGCATTTCCCGACCGTGACTGTCACTTGATGCAGACTCTGAAGCTGTCTTGGAGATATCACTAGCTACATGGCGCAAGTGGTCTAGGGCACACCGCAAGCCGAATAGGACGTCCTCCAGTTCCTTCAATTCGCGGCTCGCATTACGTCTGCCGGAAGTCAAAGTTCCGTAGAGGGTAGGACAGTTGCGAGAGCAGAATTATGTCACCGACGCTGAAGCCGAACGACATTGCTGTGGAGTTTGTCCGTCAGGCTGAACTCAGACCTAAGCCATGGAACGGGAAAGATGGTGAAGTGATGACTTTGGTGTCAATCTGGCCGCTAGAAATGGCGAACGCAACGATACCATCGGCGATTTGCCTTCTGTGTACCAAGCAAAATATGATTCTGGTTGTCTTTCTCACATCGCACCTGACATCCTTCGTGTTTCACATGGACAAAAATGCCGAGAGGTGACGAGCGGCTCGCTTGTACAATCCCAGTTGCCTTTTTCCTTGGCCTGCATGTTCAATCGAAGCATTGATTCGTGGGGATCAGCCCTGACCTAGGCTGATACATTGCAAGTAGGCAAATAATGCACCTCAGGCTACATCTCATCCGATGCGGCTGAGTAGGAAGCGACAACCCCGGCGCGTCCATAAAACTTGTTGCCTTCCAGCCTGACTAGCTAAAACATCATTCTCAACTGCTCTCCTTCTCTGCTGTCTATCCAAAGTCGAAGACAGGCTTCGATTTACATTTCTCGATCATGGCAGCAAGTGCAGCCGACGATGTCTCTGTGGGTTCTACGAACACCAAAGTGCGCTTACGAGTCCAAGGTCTCAGGCGCTTGACGTCCAACACACCAGATGATACTGAGGCGGATGATACATCAGAAGAGACCATTCTGCTGCCAAGCCATCTGCCAGTTTCAGCGTTATGGGACAAGTTGAAGGGTATGGTGCTCTCCTTCTGGCACTCTACTATGGTTTCGATAGGACAAGGCTGACCAACTTGTAGAGCTCGATTACGATCCGCCCGATGTTCTCTATCGCAACGGGAAGGCCTGGAGGCCTGGCTGCACTAAGACGGCTTTCAAGGAATTCGAGAAAATCACCGTAGTCGAAGACCACTTGTGTGATCCTAGTAAATCCATCCATGTTGATGATCGACTCATTGCATATACAAATCGACGCTTCGGGCAGCCGATCCAGTTCAACATAGATGAAAATACCTCGAACGTCTACGGTATCAAAGTCGATAGCCTAAAGGATTCGCGTGGGTTGGAGATCACGTTCCACCGGACAGTTAGGATGCCAGATGATGAAAAGATTCACCAGCTGCCCGGATCACTTGGAGCTTTCCCCCTTCATAGTGTTGCGGCATATTCCGACAAGTTGCCTGATGCGATTGTGCAGGAGGGTGGAGTCTTCATGCCCATGTGGCAGCGAGAGGCACTTTGGGTGAGTCTTGAAGCACCATATGGCAGACATTATGCATTGAGATTCTCGCTGGGACGCATCAATGCTGTCTCTGGACTGCAAATGGACGAGACAAAAGAGGTGCCGGGAGATATAGAAAGCGCCCAAGACTATGTGGTCGTCCCAGGCCAGGAGTGGCTGGATGGGATTTGTGTCGCTTCCGGCATTGTCAGACAGTTTGTTGCTATGCCATGTAAGTGTCCACTCTGTTGGTTTCCAAAAAGTGAAGTTCATCTAATGTGCCGCTGCCAGTGGGATCTGGCTACACTGTCGAGGGACAAAAGACAGGAAAGGAGAAGCACGGAGGTCTCCAGATCGAGGTAATCCCATCCTTCGAAGTGAAGCTGCGGTCCTGGGTCACAGACCAGAATGAATGTCTCGGTGTAGAAGAACTCCTTGACCGTCTCGTGAGCGTTCATATCGACGAATTCAAAACGCCACGCGAGTTGGGGCTCGAGGTTGGCGCCACGATAAGGTTATATCCAGCTGAAGCCTTTGAACATGTCCCGTCGACTTTGCTAGACATGGCTGATGGAGGAGGGATAGAGGAGAACGGCCCAGTAAGTATTGCTGCTCCCTCCCAAGTGGCATGCCGTTAATTTCAGGTCAGCAATTCACGTCAACGTACACTTTGGGGTGGAGGACAAGCTCTAGTTTAATGCTACGCCCGACAAGGAGTGAAGACACAATGTTTCTAGCGGATTCCAGTGATGGTGTTGAAGACACAATGCTTCTAGCGGATTCCAGTCATGATTATTCGCTTGGCTTAGATGTCGCCGGTGGTTTTCTAGAAACAGTTCAAGCCTCCACTACGCTGGCTCGGGCGCAGACGCTGATGGGGGTCTCGGATTTACATATGGCCAGTGAATTCCTCGAGGGAGAGCTACTTACGCCAGGTTCAAGAAAACACGAAATATTGCAAGCAGAAAGAGAACCTAAGATCACGACCAAAGACCTCAAGGCAATGGGACTCGCTGCAGGTGGCAAGCTCGGTAAGTGGCTCTATCTGCGAATCACAGCGGATCCATCACAAATTTGGTGATGGGTATCATGGTAGCTATTATGTGGCTCATATCCCTCCTTCTCCACAGTCCAAGATATATACCGCGACCACAACCCAGCACACATCTGGAACACCGAAGCCGCGAGAATCGTCCACGTCCACATCCTGGACCCAGCTTCTTGCGAAGCCGTCACCCACGTCGTGCCGCCGCCGCCGCCGATCGACGCGATGGGCTACATCGAGGAGGGCGGTGCCTTCTTCGTTGTGGAAGAGCAGCCCGAAAATCGTGTTGAGGGAGGAGATTTCGACAACGTTGAGTCCGTCTCGGCGGTGGATAAAGGTAAAGGTGTGAGGACTGAGCCGTCGCTTGATCCGAATCAGCCGACCCAGTGCAAATGTGGCATCAGACTATGTGACTGCGTGTAAGGATCCCCTGGCATATCAGTTCAGGTTGCCTTTATCTTTGGCTAACGCAAATACCGTGACAGCGTCCGACCCTGCGACCATCAGTTCTGCAACGTCTGCGTCCGCGAAATCGACCCGTCATCAATCACCGGCGCCTTCACATCGGTGGAGCCGCAGTCGCGAGACAAATGGTTCTGCCCGACGTGCAAGACTGCGGTTTCCTACGTCGCGGGATTCTCAGCCCCCATGAACTTGCCCGGGGAGGACAGTGTCAAGGTCAGGGTGCCGGTCAATGTGCTCGAGGTCAAGGATGGCAGAGTGGCATTCAAGAGTATCCAGCGGTCCAGGCTATAAGCGGCAAGCTCCAAGGGAGTTTCTAGGATCGTATTTGAGGGATATAGGAAAAGGGAGCGGATTTGTATAACTGTAGCTGGTGACTAATTGAACTGCACTGCAGTCTCTCCCGGCTCGTCAGTGTGAGCAGTTCTTTTTATAGACTCGACAGGAATATCTCCTTCAATCCGTTTTACTACCTTCTCCTCCATTGCCCCTGCATGGGAGTACAGTGTGGACCGACTCGATTCGCCCAATCTCGACTGCAGACTCTGAAAAGTATGGTGTGGTCCGGGCCGCAACATCGGGCTCTTTTTAAGACAATCTTTTTGCCCTCGTCAGTGTAACAGTTTCACATATCCTGATGGTCGGCCGTCTGCTCCGTTCCGCGCAACGATCATGACCATCGTGCTGTCTCTGGCGACCTTTCCGACTACGCGGTTGCGGTCGTCCTGGATTGGCGGTGGGAGCGCCGGGTATTCGCAGACGAATTTCGAGACGTTGAGATCTCCGTCTGTGGCTGTAAGTGATTCGATCGAGATCAGTGATGGCGGGACGCGTTGCCCGTCTATGTATATCTCCAGAATGGGTGTGAAATTGTCTCCTGGCCCCGGTGCCGCAGACAGCGACCCTTCGATCGAAATGGTTAGATTGCCTCCTTGCCCCGGGCTGGCACCACACTTTATGATTGCCAGTTTCGGCCGCGGGGTCGACGATACCTGGATCTGTTTCGGAAGGCCGTCGGACGGTAGAGGCGGTGTCAAAGGCGGCACAACTCGCCTCTTGCTTTGCTGTTCATATGCATACCCGGCCTGCAGCAGGCCGAGGTCCTTGTAAGCCTGGCCCAAGAACGTCAAGCCCATGGGCATCTTCGAGTCCGCCAGAATGCCCATGGGTACTGTCACGCTTGGTATGCCCAAGTGCCGCAATGCGCGATTGCCGTGGCTATACTTGACGCCATCGGTCCAAGCATGCTGTGCACTCTTGTCGTCAATGTCGGCATCGGCACGCGCTACATCGCCCGCGGCGGGGAAGACGACGAAGTCGTAATTGTGCACGGACATCCAATCCTCGAAGAAACGGATTCGGATTTGCTCGAGAGCCCTCACGGCGTCCTCGAGACGAGGGACGTCGTAGATTGCACTCTTGCCTTGTCTGCCTGTGGGGGGTCGGTCGGCCACGTAGCTTGCCAACTTGCCCCAATGAACGGCATTGGCTGGTTCAGTGAACTTGACTTGAGGGTTATCGCGTGGTAAGTGGGGGAATATCCGCCTCGGATCTACTTGGGCCAAGGATTGGATTTGCGGATCACGGTTGTTCTGAAGGAAGTCTTCCCAGGCATGAGCGATAAGGACTCCCCGCTCGGTGGCATTCCAGTCGCCCGGGAGATGAGGGAGTGATGAAGATGCATCGCCAGTGTCGGGCTTGCGCAGCATTTGTTCGTATATACGCAGTACCGGGAGGTCTGGAATAACGTCGATAGCTGCACCTGCGGCTTCGAGGTCGGCTCGTGCCTGACGCCACAACGGGTCGATCGCTTGGGATATATATGGGCCGCCATCCTGCTGCATGAGGTACATCTGAGGGACTGCGATTCGCTTTCCGTTGAGATATCCGGTGTCTCTGGCATCCGTCAGAAGCTGAGAGACGCCAGACCATGGTGACGGTGGAAGCTGTATAAACGGTTGATCTCTCCAGAAGTCCCCGATGGTTTCAGGGTCCTGTCTGGTAAGCACATCCATCAGAATGAACATATCGTCTATGGTGCGCGTGTGAGGAACAACGACATCACAGGTTGGATATAGTGGCCAGTTGCCGCGTATTGATATCAGTCCCCGTGAAGGAGTGTAAGCCACCAATGCGTTGTTTGAAGCAGGAGACCGGCCAGAGGACACCGTCTCTTCACCCATGCCGAAGGCGGCAAGAGATGCTGCAACAGAGACACCGCTCCCGTTGGAGGACCCAGATCCAAATGCAGCTGGTAGATAGTCTTTGTTGTAGGGGCTCTCTGCCCGGCCGTACACGCCCCGAAGCATTCCGCCGTACGCCATAGGACACATATTTGTCCGACCCAACAGGATGGCGCCGGCGTCTCGTAGAGCTCTAACAGTAAATGCGTCTTCGTTGGCGACGAGGTTCTCGAACGCCTCCGAGCCACTCGCCACGGTCATTCCACGAACTTTGTAACTGTCCTTGGCAGTAAAGGGAATTCCTTCAAGCAGACCACGCGCTTGACCAGAGACACGGCGATCATCCGCAGCGGCGGCTTCTTCAAATACATCCTCGCTGATCAATGGAATTGAATTGAGGGCGGTGTTTCGGCAATCATAAGTACTGATGCGCAGCAGGTATTTAGCAATGAGGTCAACTGAAGTCAATTTGCCGCTTGATAGAGCTTTCGACAAGTCGGCGATGGAAGCGTCGACGATACTATCGTTGAGCGACATGTTTGTTTGAGTTTAGAGAACTGATATACCCAAGTTTCGATCTTACCAAGCCTGATGACTGCAGGATCGATGGAACAGGAGGGGGTTTAACGGTGTCTAAGGCGAGAGGATGCAGTTGTGTTCTATCCTCGACACTAGTTCTCCAATGTCTGCTCCATGCCCCGGTCTATTACTCGATTGAAATGGATCATATATGGCATGAAGTAGCGATACAGCGTGGATGTCCACGGCTATCGCATCCCCGACCGACAGCTTTTGTTGTGTGGAGCCGAAGTGGAAAATATTCAAAACCTTCTCGCCTGGGCTAACCCATTTCGGGAGGTATTACCGACGCTCCCCCTGAGTAAGAAATGGCTTTAAAACCCTTTGGTCAGCCCAAGTGGCTTGGATGCCCGGTCACAACGATGCTATCCCGGCATCCAATGGCGTCAAGTTGCGCTCTATCGCACTTGCACGGTTGTCAATATGCATCCCGCGTCGACATGGCACTTTATTCGAGATATATCTTGTCTGGGTCTCCAGGCAACTAAAGCCCAATCCACATCATTCTATCGACAAGTCTCTAGACACCGGGCAGCGATAACAATCATACCATCGAGAATTCCTGCTGCAAGACAACTATCCAGCATGCCTGGCCAGCAGCCCTTGAAAGCCACTCAACATGGTTGCTTTCGAATGCCAGTGGAAAGCGCTCGCCACTCGCATACCCTGATGGCTTTCCCTAGCATGGAATCAGCAGAAAGTACAGAGCATCTGGAAGCCCTACAATCCGAAGTCACAAGCATCGCCAACACCATCTCCCGCTTCGAACCAGTCCACCTCTATGCCAGGGAGGGACTCATCACACAGGCAAAATCCATGGTCGGCAGCAATGTCTTGGTCAAGCCAGCCAGGGTCAGCGAACTCTGGATCCGCGATAGTGGGCCGGTCTTTGTGCAAGACTTGTCAACAGGGAAACGGACGGCAGTGAAATTCAACTTCAACTACTGGGGCGGCAAGCTCCCTGCAGTTGGCGACGAGGAAATCGCTGCCCAAATAGCTGCACACGCAAACGAAGCCTCGGTATCCTCGAAACTCACTATGGAAGGAGGGGGCATCGAGCACGACGGCGAGGGAACATTCCTAGGCACCGAAAGCTGCATCATCAACGACAACCGCAACCCAGGATTCTCCAAATCCGATGTCGAGGCCGAGCTTATGGACAAGCTTGGAGTCACGCATTTCATTTGGATCCCCGGCGTCAAAGGCTACGACATCACAGATTACCACATCGACGCGCTGGCACGCTTCACATCACCAAGCGTCGTCCTCCTGAGCAAGCCAGGGCCGAATGCTCACCCCATTGCAATAGACGCCTACAACTCTGCTCGGTCTGACCTTACATCTGCGAGGGACGCAAAAGGCCGACCACTAACGGTATACGACTGCGAGGAACCCGACATAACTATCCTCGGGCCATCAGATAAACACAACGAGGTCATCGGCTCGTATGCCAATTATCTCCTCGTCAATGGAGGCGTCATCACACCCAAATTCGGGCAGGAAAGACAGGACACTGCTGCCTTTGAATTGTTCAAGAAGTTGTTCCCTGACAGAGAGGTGGTGCAGGTGCCCATCAACATGCTGCCGAGGACGGGTGGAGGGATCCATTGTGCAACGCAGCAAGTTCCGGAACTTTGAAGCCATGGTACACGAGTATCTCATTGCAAGGACTTTGTGCCAGTTCTGCGAAGTGACCCATGGATATGCAGATCCGAAGGGTTTCTATTGTCTCCGCTCCATTGTACTGAATGATTGTCGCCCCTCGTTTGCTGGTATCTTTCAAGTACAGGAATGTCGAAACCCAATCTCTCGGCTCAATAGAAAATATGTCAATCTTACTGCTACGACTATAGTCAGAGCAGCAAAGAAGTTGTTACGCTGTGCACGTGTTGATCGATATCTGATATTCCTAGCCTCGAACCAGTATGTAGTGTACTACCGCACGGAGACGTCGATACTACCACAGTATGTAGCGCGCTGTCCCTACTTTATAGTTAAGAACTAGCTTACAGTGATGACGAGTCATCAATCACCTGGTACCCTCTTTCGGCAATATACCTGGCAATTGCCAAGAAATCGGCATGCGTGCCGCCTCAGAGACACCGCAAGTGGGTTACAGACATCAGGGACAGAAGTGGGGAAAAGGACCACTTACATCCCTACTACGCTACCGAGTTGTCTCGATATACATAAAACCAAGCAACTACGGGCCTGCAGCTTGTTTGTGGCTGGGTAAATCGACCATTGTCGTTGATCATGTGGCCGATGCCTCGGCTGCCTCTTTGTCCCGGTGGCAAGTGGCGTGAGGAACTTCCTGTGCACGCGGCTCGGCACGCGGCCGTTGAAGAGGAGCAGCAACCCCCGTCTCATGACCCCATCATGTCTAAAAGCTGTATCAACTACCTCTTGCCCGAGGCGCGAATATCAAAGTATTAGAACGTCCTTGGATCCAGCCAATGTCCGAGGCAAAAATACCACTGCACAAACCAGAAACCGATCAAACCATGTGGGAGAAACTGCGTTCCCTCTTCAAGAAGAAACATAGCGGGGAAGAACCTCCTCGCCGACCGAAAAAAAGACGGCCATCGGACCCGTATAGCGGCCTAAGTGAGGTGGCGGTCCCACCCCCGATCCAGAACCGGGACGAGTCAGAGGTCTTCCTCCACCACACACTGGAAGAGAACCTCGAGCGAAGCTCTCGTGGCCAAGACAGTGAAGGTGAAGCTGCCAGTGGGGACATTCTCGTCCGTCATCACACTTTGGATGAGAACATCAGACTTGCCAGAAGCCTCTCTCTAGAGTTGCGACGGCAGTCGGAGGAGTTGAGGCGGCGTTCGAGCGAGTATGAACGGATCGCGAATCATCGGGATAGCCACTCTCCCAGAAGCGTTCCTTCGCATCATCCGCCGAGATAAGATCATCTGGCCGTATAGCGGTAAAGTCGGTGAGCGCAGGAATGGCGAATTCAGGCCTTGGTGATCTCAGTCGATCAACTGAAACCATGTGCTCTGCTGGCTGCTGATACGGTTCGTCATATGCGGTCTGGGGGCATGATGAACATGATCTTCAATGGCTTCAGATCGGAAATGAAGATTTATTCTGCGAATGATTCACACTGTGTTTTCAGAACCAAAAGAAACGACGTTACATTATCATGACCTTGGATTATAGTTATGCTCTACATAACCTCTCCAGGACTTAATAGGATGGCGCTTGAGGAATGTGTATCGTGCTTTTGAATCTCGCCTCTTTCCTACATACTACAGCCTCAAGTCTTCCGCCGCCAGACTCTCTTCCATGAACCAGCATTTTGGTCTCGTTTGATCTTCTGTAATGGAGGATCAGATGAAGGAACGCGAGGAAGTGCACGTGACGAGGCTGCTTCCCCCTATTCGAGGAAGCCGATGCCCCAGCTCCCACCTGGAAAGCAGCTTTGCAGTTGGCATACTTTGAAGAATCTGGGAGCTATACAGCAAATGGGCACTATATCGGGCAAGAATTAGTAGGCAGCGACGAAAAGGACCGCTTGAGGCAAGTCCTCGGAATTTACATATAGATGACGAATGCCGTCACAATGTCGTGTCCGCGCATCGGCCTTCTTCCATCTATGTAGAGATTCGAGTTGATGAGGATGTCTACTCGCCGTCCTCTATGGTAAGAGTTACTCAGAGGCGAAAGACACGTTTTTGCAAACGAACCGCTGGCTACCTTTCCCTCAGATCGACGAAGAAGCGAGCGGTGACTTCTTCTGAGCACGACATTGCGGTTAGATTCTGCAAAGGCTGCACTGTAAGTAGCTAGAGACTCTTGAGAGCGCGTGGAATACCATCATTCCGGATTAGAGGGTGGTTCGAAGTAATTATCCCTGAAGCAGGCGCGGGTTGGTCAGTGTGCAAGGAGCGAGGCTATATAGAGAGTGAACGATGAGATGAGATAACCTCATTCATGTAACTGGGCAGCATGTTTAAACACTTTTCGGAATTGAAGTAGAGAGGTTGGTATATGCAAGCTTCTTCCATCCCAGCGCGGACTCCCTAGATATCGCAATGCTCCACGGTCATGATCGTCCTCTTCCGGGACCCGAAACCCCTGACAAAATGTACATCCCAAATTATGACACGGTGAAGACATGACACATTTTGATACAAAGCTTCAAGGCGTCGGTGCCAGCGTAGCCCACCTCTTGTTCGCTTCTGCACATGATCAAGAGTTATCCGGCCTATTTCAGGATTCTGGTGATAAGGCCGGTGGCGACCGTCCGCCCACCTTCTCGCATGTTGAATCGTTCGCCAGCTTCCATAACCACAGGATGGTGTGTCTTCAGAACCATCTCCAGGTTGTCTCCAGGCATGACCATCTTGCTTGGGTCTTCGGTACCCTCTGGGAACTTGAGCTGTGCTGCCTCATCTGCGGTTCGGATGTAGACTTGTGGCTTGTAGTTCTCAGTGAAGCCTGACTTTCTACCTCCTTCCTCTTCTGTCAAAATGTAGAGCGACACAAGCGCTTCTTGATGAGCCTTGGCAGAACCTGGGACGGCAACCACCATTCCACGCTTGACGTCTTCCCGTTTGACACCGCGCAGTAGAAGACCAGAGTTGTCACCAGCTCTTGATTCTTCGCAGGACTTCTTGAACGTTTCAATGTCTGTCACCTTGGTTTTGATGACCTCGTCACGACCTCCCACGATCTCGACCTCACTATCCTTCTTCAACACGCCTCGCATAACACGGCCTGAAGCGACAGTGCCTCTTCCTGCGATAGAGAAGACTTCTTCGACCGACATGAGGAAAGGCTTTTCAGTGTCTCGGACAGGGGTTGGAATCCAGCTGTCGACGGCCTCCAGCAGAGCATCAATCTTTTCAACTCCGATCTCGGGTCTGGTGCCTTCAAGGGCGCAGAGGGCAGAACCAAAGATGATGGGGGTGTTGTCTCCATCGAAGCCGTACGAGGACAAGAGCTCGCGCATTTCCATTTCAACAAGTTCCAACATTTCAGGGTCCTCGACGGTGTCGACCTTGTTAACGAAAACAACCAATTTTTGGACACCGACCTGACGGGCTAGGAGGAGATGTTCTCTTGTCTGAGGCCTGCGCAGAGTCAATCTCGTGAACGTACCATTCAAGCAACCGGGCATCTTACATCTGACCATCGCCAGCGGCAACCACCACGACAGCGCCATCCATAAGAGCAGCACCGGTGATCATGTTCTTGATGTAATCAGCGTGACCGGGGCAGTCGACATGAGAGTAGTGGCGGTTGTTCGTCTCGTATTCGATGTGCGCAGTTGCGATCGTGATACCACGCTTTCGCTCTTCGGGTGCTTTGTCAATCTTGCCATAATCGAGAAACTGCGCTAAGCCTTTGTCCGCCTGTCTCTTCGTGATTGCTGCTGTGAGGGTTGTCTGACGCGATGATAAGCCCGTGAACTTGGACGGCAACGGGTTGGGAATCTACCTTTCCATGATCGACGTGACCGATCGTACCTGGGAAAACTGTCAGAAATCGAGCCGGAACAAGAGGCAAGGACTTGCTACTGACCAACATTCACATGGGGCTTGGTCCGCTCAAAAACAGTAGCATATGCTCGGGCGGCGAATCTGTCATGGCCGAAGACTCTGTTGACGGGATTAACACCTCGAGCGGGGGATACAATGTGCCGGGATGTGCGCAGGAGAGAAACAACCGAGCGAGAGAAGGCCATCGCGACGCCGGAAGAAGGAAGAATGGAAGGAAAGAAGGAAGAGAAATCCCAAACTGCAGCACGCAAAGATGGAAAGTTGATACAAGTACAGGGAGCAGAATCAATGCAGACGCGGACCAGAAAAATAAAAATGGCCTCGAACGACGCTGCAGGGAAGCTCCAGGCCTTTGTCCTAATTGGGAGTAGCTCTGTTGTACGGTGAAGTATGCTTGGCATTTGGATGCCATCAAATGCAATTGGAAAAGAAATATCCTTCGATCTTCGGTGTTCTCGTATGTGTGATGCGTGGTCCTGAAAAGAGGCTTCTCTCTTCCTTAATGTTCTCTGTTGCTGTGTGTAAGGGACACTCTATCTAGAATTCTCGCAATCGACACAAGGAGATCGACAGTATGGATCAAAGCAGCCGTGAACGGAATGATGGGCTATCAAGTTCCAGAGCGATGCCGACACTCCCACCAGATCTAGAAGCTCTATCACTTGCAAAGTTCGATGACCAAGTGGCCAAAGGAACAATCATCTATGAATCTTCGACGGCCGAGACTGTGGAAGACCAGGGGTTCAAAGTAAGTGGGTGACATTGCTCGGCCTCCGCTGGACAACGAAACAGAGAATAGCAGGTCATACCAGTCTTGCTCCCAAAAGCTGCTCGGAATCTGACGACCGCAGCTCAGTTTTCGGTTCGTGCCACACCTTCGCCGCAAGCCCATCACACCGTCAGATGCACCCGAGCGGAAAACGGGCAAGGGCCACAATCCCTTCCTCAATCCCAACCCGGAAGAGGTTCTCTCGGAAGTCGGGCCCTCGCATCTTCTGATCTTGAACAAATTCAGCGTCTACCGACCGAGCCTGCTGGTTATCACGAGGCATTTTGCGCCTCAATCGGATGGCCTTGATCTCAGCGACTTGTCGGCCGCCTGGGCGATCTTGCAGCGCTTTAGGCAGCGATACATGATGATCTACAATTGCGGCTTCGAGTCAGGATCTAGTCAGGGGCATAAGCATATGCAATTTTGGCCGTATCCGGACGAGCAAGAGTTGGACTTTCAGCTCTTTCCAAACGCGGCTGGGTCGACAGTTGATGTCGCGGATAACATCCCGACTGTCCCTCACAAACACTTCGTTCTTCGACTGCCAACGCACAGTGACCCAAACACCCTCGTCCAAACCTACGAAAGGCTGCTTCGAAAGGTCCGGCAAAGCCATGAAGCAGCCGGCGGGGGCACCGACTACAATGTGATCCTGGTGAGAGAGTGGATGTGCATGATTCCCCGCCGACACAGTGGTCTTGAGAGAGGAGCCGGCGCAAACTCAGCCGCGATGCTGGGGCTTGTGTGGATCGCGATTGAAACCGAAAAGGACATCTGGAACTCTGCTGGACCAACTGAATATCTCAAATACCTAGGTCTACCGAGATAGTTACTTGGGCTACTCTTGTGAGCTCGTCGGCGTTACGGTGGAGGCGATAGATTAGACAAGAATTAGAGAGTAGAATAGATTCATTCGTGTTGAACCCATCCGCGCGGGCTCGAGCACACCACCGAGACACGATCTTCTTTCCATGACTCGCAAAAAAAGGGACCAACGATGCTGACAGGTGAATCATCCAAAAGGAGGCTATACGAGCGAGGCTGTCGCATGTGATTGACATTGCCAGTTAATTCAAGCTGAAATGGAGGGAAATGTATCGCCGGAGAGAGGTTCGTATCAGGCAAACCGGCGCAGTTGACCTCGTATTGAGGTCGTTGGAGTCGACGCCGATTTTCGAGGGGCGATTTGTTATTTTCTCCACAGCCTCGACTTCTCCCTCTCACTTTGCCTCCTACAGCACCACGTTTCTCAATCTTGGTCCAACCCGCGCTTATAGAGAAGACTGAACATGGGCAAAGGTCAGATCGCCCCCTCTCGCTCGCTCGCCTCAGCCTGCTGACGAGCTTTTCCAGGGACCGACAAACTCTACGTATGAGCACTCGTCTTTACAGTACGAAGAAGCCAGCCAGACTAACGACCTTTGACTAGATCACTCACTCCGAATGGGCCTCGTCCGATGCGTACTCAGCGAGCGCGGGCGCCGGTGTGCGCGCTGACACCTCCCACCACGCCGCCTTCAAGCGCCTGCCCTTCAACTTCTGCGCCCTAAGTCTGCAGCCCTTCACCACGCCCGTCTGCACATCCGAAGGCATCATATTCGACCACGAGAACATCCTACGGTGGCTGCTAAAACATGACACGAACCCGACGACTGGGAAGCCCTTGAAACAACAGGATCTCATAAAGTTGCAGTTTGCGAAGAACGACAGCGACGAATATGTCGACCCCGTTACATTCAAGGTATTCACGGACAACACGCACATCGTGGCGATCCGCCACGGAGATTCAGCGAATGTGTTCGCATACGACACCGTTGAGCGACTGAATATAAAACCCAAGATGTGGCGCGACTTAGTCTCGGACGAGGAGTTCACCAGGAAGGACCTGATTACCCTGCAAGATCCGCAGAATGTGGAGTCCCGCAACCTCACCTCATTCAAGTACTTGAAAGACGGGGAAGATTCAGGGATCCCTAAAGAGGAAGCGTCCATCAATACCGCGAGTCTAGGCAGTGCTGCGGACCTGAAAATCATGAAGGCGAAGGAGGCGGTTGCAAAGGCTAGGGCCGAGCGAGCAAATGCTGTCTTGCAAAACAGCAAATCTTTGTCGACGTCAACGTCGGCCCACACAGTCAAGAAGACAGCTTCAACATCCCAATCGTCAAAACCAATACCTTACAATGCAACACGCCACACCACCGGTCAAGCTGCCGCCTCCTTCACCTCCACCGGGCTCACACCGCACACCTCCAACGCGCTCGCAACGATGACAGACGAAGAATACATTCTGAAACCCCGGCGGGTCAAACACAAGGGTTACGTCCGGCTGTCCACCACCCTCGGACCCCTGACATTAGAACTCAACCCGGAGTACGCGCCCAAGGCCGTCTGGAACTTCGTCAAGCTGGCGCAAAGGGGGTATTACGACGGCATCATTTTCCACCGCAACATCCGAAACTTCATGATCCAGTCGGGCGATCCGACCGGGACAGGCAGGGGAGGGACGAGCATATGGAACAAAAACTTCAACGACGAACTCGAAGGCCCGCTGAAGCACGACAAGCGGGGCGTGCTGAGCATGGCGAACAAGGGCAAGAACACGAACAGTTCGCAGTTCTTCGTCACCTACCGCCCCGCCAGCCACCTGGACCACAAGCACACCATCTTTGGACGGGTCGTGGACGACGACGGCGGCGACTCACTGGAGACGCTCAAGCGGCTGGAAAACGCGCCTGTGGACAGCACCGACCGGCCCGAGGAGGAGATCAAGATCGTCGAGGCAACGGTGCTGATTGATCCGTTTGAGGAGTTTTGGAAGCAGAAGAACCAGGCGGAGCGGACCGAGAAGGAGAAGTCGGATCGAAAAGCTGCTGCCGCCGACGAAGGAAGTCTCGATGTGGACGAGGACCGCACGACATGGACGGGCAAGAGGATACGAGACGACGGCACGGTGGATTCTGGCGGCGGTATCGGACAGGTGGGAAAGTATCTCAAAGCTTCATTAGCAAGGCACGGCCACGACAATGACAATGACAATGACGAGGACGAGATTGTCGAGTTCGTCGATGACGAGCCTGAGGAACCCGTACGGAAAAAGGCAAAAGGGGGAGGTGGCGGGTTTGGAAATTTTGATTCGTGGTGATCTCTACATTTATTCCTACATGGAAATGGGGAGTATGGGACGAGATCACGGCCAAACCTGGAATGACCACCAGCACCAAAATCAAGATTCCATGTTAACTTACCTTACCTACCTTGTCTGATTAGATTTCCTGTCAACGATCAAACCCATTGAACCCTTCTTCTTCTTCTTCTCCTTGTTCTTTTTGCCCTTTGCGTATCATCTCCCCAAACTTACCTTTCAAATTGACCGGCGCTTTCTCCCCATATTCGCGACATGCCACACTTTCTCAAGGAGGACCAGGCTAATTGGTGATGGCTGAAATTGACATGACATTTGCGCGAGAACTGTGCGGTGATGACGACGGTCCTACCCCGGTCGTAGTTGTGGGAAGATCGTCATCGGTCATGTCGACATCTGTAGACTGGTTAGCAAATTGACCGGCTCCAGCAGCAGCAGTAGCAGCGGCACCGGTGCGAGCCGTATTGACGTCCGAAGACGCCCCATAGAACGGTCCATCAGGCCAGCCCTCGGACTGCATGACAGCCGCAAAATCCCAAGGCTCGAGATCTATAAGCTGGTTAGCAAGTATGCACAACTGAGCAAATGGAGGGCGACCAGAAGAAGCAGGACCATCGCCGCCAGTGCTGGCACCGGCTTCGTCAACATCCCAGGGAGGAACATCCAACTCACCATGAGCCCAGCCTTCGTTATCCCTCACGTCATCATTTCTGCAAGGAAGTTGGCCTTCGCAAGTCCCCGTCCCTCGCCAGCCAGCGGCCCATTCGGCCCTGAACTGCTTAGCACGCTCCCACCAGTATTGTCTATAGACACGTGGGAGTTGCAACAGATCAAAAAGCTCCTTGAGCGTTCTTTTCTTACCGGTCTGGAACAAGTCTGGGTACTTGGATGCCTCCCGAATGATCGTGGTCAAACTTTCAAGATGTGATGCAGTGTCCTGCCAAAGTGCGTCAATAGGGGTATCCAACACTCCAGTCTTCAAGGGCTCAACCTGCGTACCTAGACTAGCTGAGAGAATCTTGGGTGCAAGCGAGGGGGGCAAGGTGGGGTTGGGTCTTGGTTCCTCATTCGCTTTGCGCTCCGCCGTCCGTGCTAGAGCCGTGAGGAAAACAACCCAATGGGCAATGTCTTTTATCGCAAGCGTCCCATGATGCTGTCGGAACTCGACAGTCCTCTTTTCCCCTGTATGGATGAATTCGAAGCAGTTGGTAAAGTTCACAAAGCATTCTCGGACCATATACCGGTAGTTCCCTTTGTTTTCTGCCGGAATCGTTGTCAGCAATTCCACAAGCTCGTGGCTGGTCTTCGCTCGGAAAATGCGAAGGAATGCGTCTTCGAGCGAAAATCCGGGCCCTTCCTTGCAATGGTGGCGCGGAAAGGTATGAGGCAAGCTTCCCACGAAGCGATTGGTCCCGATATGGCGACGAGAATAGGACGCAGGATAACTATGCCGTTGCGGATGATGCAGCAAAGTTATGGTATCCTCGAAAGCTAGGCAGATAAAGGCGAGATGGCGCAGAAGTCCAAGAGGGAGGTCAGTTTGGCCATCAGGCTGTGGTTGCAAACCGATGTGGACATGAACACCAGCGGCCTCTGGACCGGACAGGAAAAAGTAAGGGGTACCCTCAGGCCGGGGCTGAGTCATGAACCCGAGGTAGGTTTGGACTTCAGCGAGACCGTAGGGATGAAAGTGATGCAAGTCGAACTCAGGGACCGGTAGAGCGGGAGAAATGAGCTCCAACCCCGAGAACTCCCAGCCTCGCCATTCCCTGATTCTACCCCCGGAAAATCGTTCCAGATCGTAGGCATTGGCAGGAAATCTTACCGAGCTGTCCGTGGACATGTGCCATTGCGAATACAGGTCAAAGGACTCTTCTTGACTGCCTTGATGGACTATCACACCTAGTCGAGCACCTTTGCTTCGCAGAATTTTGACGGCTTGCAGAAGACCTTTATGCGCATCCAGCGTCGGGTCGAAGTTGGCAGGATTGGCAGAATTTGGGTAAAGAGAGCAGTTCTGTGGAAACAGCCAGTGGTAAACTGGGTTGGAACAGACGACGTCCTTGTTGACACCAAAGACGTATTCGATTTCGACGCCGAAGGTCAGAGGGAGTTTGTCTGATGGATTTGTTGAGAAAGCCATCTTGTCAGGTTGGCCAATTTGGCAAAGTCAGTGTTCAGTGTTGAATCGCGCCCTGCTCTCACTTCAATGACTTGCCAATGGCGACGTGCTGGTTTGGTGCCATTGGAAGCTGGTCGTGGGCTTAATCGAGCCATAAATAGCCAGGAGGATCAACCATGGGGCGGCGACTCAAGGCGGTGTAGGACAAGCAGCTCTGCCTTGACAGCAAATGTGAGCAGACAAAGACCCAATCGAGTGAAAGAGGGGGTGCTAGCCCTTTGTGGCTGTTTGTCTTGTTTGGAGGACACATTGTGTACTGTGAACCAAGAGGCCATTGTTTGGTGTCGTAGGCACTGATGAATGCGTTGGGACACAGTCGGTTGAACGTTGGTGGCAGCGGCGGTAGACAGCAGTGATGATGATCACAAAGTAGTCTAGAGATTGGGGCGGCTAGGGGGCGGCGAGGGGGGCGGCATGGGAGAAGTAGGCGAGGAGAGGAACATAGAAAAGATGAAGCGGGAGGATCGAGGCAGCGAGGTGTATGTGGTGGTGATGTGCGGAGGTCTGTCGCAGTGTCAGATCTCACCGTCGTGTCAACTTTCCGCCATCGCGCCCTGCGCTGCCCATCCCACCTCCATCTCACTTTTACGCCCCTCGTCCTAACTATCCTCGGCCTGGCAACCATCAGACAAGGAGAAGCATAAGCACTCTGATTCCACCTCTCAGTTCCCGTGGCTGCATCTGCGGCTGAAAGTCCGCAACGCGCGCAAGTCGAAAGCCTCACCAGCTCTAAGCTGCTTCCAGAAGCTGTTACAATGCTGATGATTTGTTAAGCACGGAGCATTATTTACGGAATCTCCCTCCTCTCTTCAAGCTGCCTACCTACAAAACCTCCCTCTGTCTCCAACGAGGCCAAGCCAACTGCTTCCCCCATCCTCGAATTCATCCTAGCCTCTCTCTGAAGTGGGTTGGTCGACCAAGAGTGGTTGGTATCTTTGGGGGCCGCCAGCTGCCTACCACAATTCCCCCGACGCTTACTGTTACTCCACCATACAAACTCATTGTAATCCTCCGCGACGACGACGCTCTTCTGCCACGATTCTTGTCACCGTTGGTGCTAGGTCTTCTCATATTGCGCAACAACCACCTCCGCAGCCGGGGAGGGCGCCTGATGACTATCCGGGGCAGAAGAGCGCAAGGACTTGGTGGTTTTTGACTTCGTTTTCGTCGTTGGCGGGCATTCGGGCTCCGCTCGCTCGGACCCAACTGGCATCTGAGAGGGCCCTGTTATCATCTCACTGCGAACAACCTGCTTTCCAGCGCGCTCTTTGCGGTGGTATAAACCGACCCAGACTCGCACAGTCGAAGATCAAACCGTTGATCAAACCATGTCTTTTATGCAAACAACCTTCAAATCCGGCTGGATCACTGATCTGGTCCTGCCCGCGCCGCCGGAAGGAAAGTCCCCGCAAGATGTGCTGGACGCCGGCTATGAACTCGCGCTCAAGATGTGCACAGATCCGGTGATGATGGCCCGGCTCAACCCGCTCATCACCAACGTGGTCACCATTCCGGCCTCAGATCCAAAAGCCGTCGACTACATGGCTCTGTCCAAGGACTTCAAGGTCGACCTGAACGCCGACTACGCGATCGAAGACTTCCAGCACTACGCCATCACCGACAAACTCAACGTGCTTCCGGGGTACAGCACGGACTTGACGTATTACAGCGCAATCCGACGGACCAAGGACGGCATGGAGGCACTCACCAATCCGGGCTCCGGCGTGACCATCCACGGCCGCTTCAGCATCCGGGTCGCCGAGCCGCGCGACGTCAAAGCGCTGGACGCAAGCGACGGCAAGGGTTGGGTGGTGAATTTCTACGAAACCAACGAGCTGAGGTGTAACGTCATGCTGAGCTACTACATCCGCGCCACGACGGACAAGTCGCACCGGATGGCGCACGGGCGGTTCAAGGAGATGTGGTACCAAGGGATGAAGGACCTGGGTTATCCTCCTACGTCGTGACGAGATGACTCGCGGGGGTTCGTTCCAGCAGGCAGTTTGCAGGTTTTTGAGCGTCTGGTAAAAAGTTTGGTTGGCTGTGCGGCTGGCGTTGGTTCTCCAGACGGAGAAACGGAATCAAGATCGAAGAGAGGAAGGCGTGCGCCATTGCGGGAAGAGGGAGTTCGCTGAAAAGAGAGATACCGACAGCAAAAGACACGAGAGAGATGAACACAGAGAGGGAATGATGGTAATCACAGACGAGCAGAGAATGGAGGAGAGAAGAGACAAAACAATGCCGAGGGTTCTGGCTACAAGTCACCTTACCTTACCTCACCGCACTATACGAAAGCCATGCTCCGCCACTGGCTATTGCACTCCACAGTACTCTTCGAGCGGACCGAAATCAGCATAATGCAAACCAGATGAAACGCGGAGCATACTCGTCCTAGCTAGCTAACCAGGCAGCTAGGCCAGTACCCATCTGATTGCTTTAGGGAAGGGGGCGTTTGTTTGGGTGTTTTCTTGGTTGTTTGATCTCGGCACGCAGTAGGGGGGTTAGCATCCGGTATCTATTTCGCACGTCTTTTTAATCTCAATGCTTCTTGTAGTTCAATCACCTTTGTCTCCTTTTTGGCCTCCTGTTTCGTGTGTTGTGTTTCTTGTCTTTTGTAACTCAAGGACCTTCGTCACCTTTCTCCTTTCTCCTTTCTGGTACCTCGTACCGAGTGAATACTTTGTGTTGTGCCACGTTCAGCCCGCTGTCCTGGGTACCTACCTACCTACTCAGGTGCGTACCAAGGTCCATCCCGGGTGTCGAGTCGGTTTCCAAAGCACGACGCGGACAGCACAGCGAGACCGGGACGCGAGTCATATTCATATATCCACGCGCATAGAGGAACGAGTTCTAAGGAAGCGAAAAGAAAAGATATCTCGAACGAAGCTGGCTCTTGAATCAGGGCTTCATTTCCTCAAGAGATGGATGGCTATTTGAAGAAACCATGCCCCCTCCCTAATCTACCCTGCGAGACTCTCAGAAGCACAAAACAGAGCACTGTCTTCACCAACGCAGCAAAAAGCAATTGTCACGAATGCCTCCCGGATGACTTTTTGTTCAATAAATCGCTTGAACGCAGCAGCAGCAGCAACAGCAGCAGCAAATAAATGCGGATAATAGATGACTTCCCCTGACCCTCGTCCCAGTCTCAAGGGCTGTCTCTCTTATGAGACCAACCCGCGTCAAGCTTGTAAGCCCGACACATACTTGACGGCGACCACCCATTCGGTGCCAAAGTCGGTGCCGTGTTTTCTTCGAGACCCATGCTTCTGCCACGCCGCGGCCGTGATGCCGATGTCGGCCACCCAGACCTGCCAGGTGGGCTCCGTGATTCCATCATGAGACATTCCATATAGCAACCCGGTCTTCGGTGCCCCTAGACTGACGATGTGCTTGCTGTTCATAACCAGCGGCTGTCCATCAACTTCCGTCAACAACCCCGACGTGGCAGATAATCCGCTCGGCACATCGATAGAGAGGACGAGGGAGCTGCGATTGGCCCACCGAATCATCTCCAGCACTGTTGCTTGGTCGTCCGTCCGTAATTCTTCAAACGTGACGTGCACTCCGAGCAGAGCATCCACAATCACGTCAGGAGTCGGGCCGCCCGCGCTGGCTTTGGTCTGATATTCGTCCCAGCGGTCCACGTACCCTTGTCCCTTCTTGTAAATGCTGAGCTGTTTCTTCATAACTTCGAGAAGCAGTTCTTCACGCTCGCCCCCGAGGATGACAATGGTCACCCGAAGCCTGCGATTGCGTAAATGCCTGGCTGCGGCGATGGCTCTAGCACCGGATTTGTGATTGCCCACTAAGAACACCACACTCCTGACCTCGGGAATCTTGAGCACTGCCATGGCTATACTCCGTCCAGCATTCTCCGAGAGCATGTCTTCCGTGAGGCCAAGTTCCGAAGTGCAGAGTTGTTCGATCTCAAGCATCTGCAGCGGTGACAAACAATGACACGGCTTGTTGTTGAGAAGTTTGAAGGTGCCACGGTTGCCGGACACGGATCCGTTGAGCGGCGATGAGGTTTGCATCCGGCCCAAAGGGCGCGGCGAGTCTGTCCGGTCAATATGCGGAGGGATGACGCTGCCCTTTCTCGAACCAAGTGGCCGTCGGGAGCCCGCCCTCTTGGATCCTCGCCCGCTGCTGTAATGGCCCTCTCCCCCGATCGACTCATCTTCGGTTTCCCCCGCTTCACTCTTCCATCGATCTTTGTCCTTTCCACCCGGCGTGTCCAAAACGTTTTCCGTGAAGTGCAGGTTTCGGCCCCCGTTGGTCCCAGGTCGAGCTTTCCGATTGAAGCTCACAAGCCGGTCAGCTTCCGCGGTGGTGTCTGCTTGCCGGATGTCGTCAAAGACTCGGCGCTTGTCGAACTTGGATAGATTTGATTCAAAGTCAAAGTCGCCCATATCCTGGATGTCAGTAGCATCTTCTGTAGCCCAACCATTCATGTCTTCTGCGGCTTTCCGACCCCGCTGTGCCCTCTTTCTAGGCTGTCGAGGTACCTCCTCGATGAAGGGGGTCTGGCGCCAGCCCTTGCCTTTTCCTGCCTTCTTCTGACCCTTGAGCGGGCCGTGATTGACATCTTTCATGTCGATGATGCCTGGACCAGTTTGTGATGGTATATATTGAGCCTTCTTTTCGCTGGCGACCTCTGGCGCGGGTTTAGCAACCGCAACATTGTCCCCAAGACTTAATGCGTCAAACGGCTCCGTCAGAGTCGCACTGGCGGGTGTATTTCTTTTCTCCGTCTTTTTGGGAACAGCCGTCGCGATGCTGGACACTGAGCTATTCCCCACATTGCCGTTGCGCGGCAAGCGCGCCGACGGGTTGCTCACTATTCCATCGGCGATCATGATCGGGGACACTGGCTGCGGCTGCTGGATAACTGCTGGCATTGCTGCAAGTTTGGCGGGCGGTTTCGCGTAGCTGATGATGGCGGGGTCGACAAACGCGGGCACATTGTGCTGCTGTTGAAGGACTGGGGGGAATGTGGTCTTCTGGTGTTCGGCAGCGGCGACTGGTGTAGGCAATTCCTCCTCTTCGACCGTGGATGGTTGTGAAGGGGACACTTCGAGGTCTGCTATAGCGGAGGAGTCAATGGCGTATGAGGGGAGTCGCTGGCCATTCCACAAAAGTACTGCAAACTAGGTTAGTATTGCGAGCTGGGCTTCGGAGCGAAGCCTACCATTCTGCAGGAACAGCTTTTGATTGACGACATCTGCCACTACACCCTGGATTTGAGCATGCGGAGGATTCTGTAGCGTGACCAAGATGGTGTAGCCAACGAAGTCGGACGCCATGGTAAGGGAGGAGCGAGTGTAGCAGACGGAGTGGAGCAGTACTATATGTTCATGCTGCTCAAGATAGGGTAGAGTGAGCAAGATAAATACAAAATCTGAAAAGATCAGAGATTCAGGCCTTGAGGATCTGGGAGGGTGAAGGATGTTTCCCCTGTGAGGGCCTTGTCGATTCCGTTCAATGCCTGGCTTCTGCCGAAAAGTCGATAAAGTTTGGTGTTTCCCCTTTCGTCATCATCTCACACGACCATCCAAGGCTGAATCGCCAGACACCACTATAGGCTTCATCATAGACTGTGCTTCACATCTAATATCTACAGACTAATTCATGTCAATTGGACGCTCCTTGCGATCTCAAGCGAGATTTCTCTTCGGTACGCTTCCCAGACGCAGGCTTCATTCCCCAGAGGCAGATCCGTCGCTACGCCGCACTGGCCTTCAACATTTGCTTCTCAGCCTCGAGCATCTCCTCGAACGTAAAGTCGTCGCCGAAGTCATCCTTCTCCTCGGTCACTTCTTTCTTGACCTCCTTCTTTCCCAGCGTCTCATGACTAGACAGCTTGGAATAGAAGTGCAGCACCTTTTGATGGACCATGACCTTCCGCTCATCGAACCGAAGAACCTGTAAGCCTTCCTTTGTTCTTGCTCGACTCAATGCGACATACGCTTGGCCTTTCTCAAAGACCTTCCCGAGATCCACTTTGACTCGGCTAAGTGTCTGGCCCTGTGCTTTGTGGATTGACAAGGCCCATGCTAGAATTAGAGGTACCTGGACTCGTTTCACAAGGACTTCACCGTTCTGGGCTTCGGTCTTCCACTCGTCCGGAGAGCAGAGCATACTCCTTGATGTTCCGTCCGGTAGGTTAAATCTCACCATGGGCCACAGCCTCCTGGGCTCGCCACCCGTGGTCGAGTTTTTCAGCCTAGCTTCACGGATCTTCTCACGTGCAGCCTTTATCTCACCATTGTCGTCTTCGTCGTCTGGCTCGTGCGCCAGGAGAAACGTGGGTTCGTCATCCTTGTAGGTGAAGAATGTGCCTTCATCCATGAATGACTGTACAATCCCGAGGGATCCGTTGACGAGTTGTGTATCAATGTTTTTGATCAGCATGACTTGTGCACCCTTCTTCAACTCGAGTACCTCGGGAGCGATAAAGTTGTTCAGCAACGCCTTTCGTGTGTTAAGGTCAACGGTGCCTGTATCCACTGCTGTAAAAGTCATCATTTGGCCGGACAGCTTTCGCATACGATTCTGGTTGGCATTTTCGACTTCCTCACGGCGAGGATACCTGAGCATCATTAGCAGGCTGGTGGATCACGGATTGGAAACACTCACAGCTCAGTTGCCTCAAGCTCATCGCGGAAATCCAAAGGCCTCGAAAGTGACTTGAATTCTCGGATAGTGGCAGGACTCATCTTACCCAGACGCATTTCGTTGAGCATTCGAGCGAACTGTTCGTCCTTTTGGCGGAAGACATGGGTCAACAGGATGGTATGTTGGATGCAGGTGTTCCACGTTACTGCCTCAAAGACAAACTTGGCCGAAGTGTTTCTGTCGGGTACAGGAGGGAGTTGGAAAAAGTCTCCAGTGACGACCAACTGAATACCACCGAAAGGGCGGCCATTGTTTCGAATAGTACGCGCCACTTGCTCCAGCTTGTCAAAAAGCTGACCGTCGACCATGGATACTTCGTCAATAATGAGAACCTTGGTCCGGAGCCATTTCTGCCTCGATTTCTGATTGCGCTTGATCTTTTTGACTAGTTCAGGTGCAGGCTCCTTTCCCAACCCAATTCCCGACCAACTGTGTAGCGTCTGTCCTTCCAAGATGCACGATGCTAAGCCGGTCGACGCTGTGATTGCGATCCGATCAGAGTCTTTCCGGTACTTGTGCTTCAACTTGGAAATTATCGCCCTCATAAGAACAGATTTCCCCGTACCAGCGGACCCGGTGAAGAAAACGCTCTTTCCTTCGTCCATGACTGCCTTCATAACAGACTTCTGCTCGTCGCTCAAGAAAGGCTCCGACACTGTGCCAAACGTTGCCGGTGCTATTTCCGCCGGTTTGCTGGTCGACAGAACCGTACGGTCAGACGAGGACCTCGAAAGCGACGCATTTGTTCGATGGCGCGCGAATGATGACTTCTGTAACATGTCTGACATCGCAAGGGACGCTTTTTCACGGCTGCTCGCGTTCTGCAACTGTTTTGACGGACTGAATCTATCAAATTTGTCGGGACGCTCGCCTTGCGCTGTGCTTTCTTCATCCCTGTAGGCAGTTGAGACTTGAGCCGTGAATGATGCGGGCAGTGCTCTTTTCTTGTTTGGTCCCACCGTCCGTGGCTCCGGTATATCTTTTGACAGCTTTCGTGTGGGCGGGTTTTCGTAATGGTGCGCTGGCGATGACGACCATGGGACTTCGGCGCTACTCGTAGGGACAGTCGGAGAGCCCTTCTGGATGGAGGGAAGTGAAGGATAAGAGACGGCATCCATCGCAGGCAAATCAGGGTATCGGACGTCGGGGTGACCTTCGACATTGTCCGTGAGGTCAATGAAGGTAGGCGGGGTGTTTTCGTCGGACCAGGGTTGCTGATGGAGAGAGCCCAAGTTGCTGGAGCTGCTCATGGTCCGATCCAGTTTCCTCTTCAGAGAACCCGACGAGGAATCGCGGGGAGCATTGGCTGCGGAGGAACTGAATGGCAGAGAAGATTGCTTCTTCTCGCTAGAGGCCGAGGATGCATGTCTGTTGGCTGCCCGGGCAAGCATGATAGTATTGACGAAGGACTTCGGAGATCTCAGGGCACGGGTCGGGGAGCGAAGCACGAGACTGGAGAAGCAGACTTGCATGAAAAGCAGGAAGGGCAAGAGAGGGCAGAATTAGGGAGGCGTACAGAATAGAGGAAGGTAGGGCCTTTCATTGGCACTGCACACGTGGAAGCAGCGCCCTGTACATTGCAATGCTGAACGAAAGGAAATCAAGGTGCAGGCGGGCAACGCGTGAGGGACTCGCGAGTTGCGCGCTGCAGGTCGCGTCTCTTCTCTACAAAGTCTTGGCGATGCTGCTTTTATCCCATCCGCTTAAGGCTTGGTGTCAAGGTCAGATTCACACGACTTTATTGGCTAGACCGTCTACAACCTCCAAACCCACCTAGTACTAGTGCTTTTATCCTCTTCAAGTACTAGAGATGATCTTATAAGCTCAAGTCGTCTTCGATATGACATCGCTGGAAATTTACGAATGGACACTCGGCTCTTGTCAACCCAATGAACCATGCAGCACTTCCTAGATTGGATCCTGTACAGTGTTGATGTTCACCATATAGATATCCCGAGATTCTGTATGCGTTTATGCATATGACTGTGATAGTCCAGGCAGCAATTGATTATCAAATGATTTCGTCGATTTGCGAAAACAAACAAAACGGTATATATCAGACAAGGCGCACCCATCTCCTCGATAAATGACTTTGTGCGAACCGATTTCAGGGAAAGTGGCGAAAATTGGAAAAGATTCTGACAAGGTGTTATGGAAAATACTGAGAAGCACGGAAACAATACTGACGACACGAAATCTTATATGTTGGCATGCACACTCAGATTTCTGCAGGCCAACCAAATATTTCCCGCTTTTTGTGAATGGCGTTCAACTCTGGGTTTGATACCCAAGAGCTGTTGAGCACGGATGGCCTCTCTCCTGGTTAAGAGGCGAGACAAAGTTACGTGCTTCTCTTCCACTCCCAACAATACAGTCTCCTGCGTTTTTAGTTCTCTGGTTTGCCGCAACCAGAAGGCGTGTGCCTTTGATGCCAGCCATCTCGCCGCCGTTAAATGGAATTGTCGAATGGGGAGATGTTCTAGAGACGGCAGTTTCATCAACCTTTTCGACAACGACATCCATTGATCCATCATAGTTGATGGATGACCATATATATTTCTAGTACCTTTAAGCTTTTTTGGATTTTGACCACCGTTCTTCAAATTGTTCCTTTGGGGATGGGAGGTTGACTGCAGGAGCTCGTGGATCTGGTGTCCAGGGCAGAAAATCAGATCCTTCCACTAACCATCGGAACATCTCACCCTGAAGCATCTGTGCAACTGGTGCAAACTCCGGCTCAGCGGCAAGGTTGGACATTTCATGAGGATCCAGGCGCCGATTATAGAGCTCAGGCGGCTCGTATAGCCGATAGATGTAAGTCCACTCCTCGTTGCGTATGCTAATGGCCTTTCCGACAATCCGAGTGTCCTCATGTTGCAATGCACCTTTGATGTCGTACGGATATGGGCCCCGCTCTACCAGGGGCTCCTCACTCATCAGAAACCCTCCTTCAGAAAAAGCAAATCTCTTGTGTTCGGTCGCTTTCTGCGTCAAGAGGGGCACTAGACTTTTTCCGCTGTGGGGGAAGTGCTCCCGGATCCCAGATATTTCCAGGATTGTTGGCAACAAGTCGACCATCTCTATCATGGCATTAACGCTGTGACCTTCTGGAAGGCCTTCCCCAGCAATAATCAGAGGTTCATGGGTCAAACAGTCAGATAACCCCGACGGCCACTTCTCGATGAGGCCGTAATCCCCTAGGTATTCGCCATGATCTGTGAAGAACAATGTCACTGTATCCTTCCACAAGTTCAGATGATCCAGTTGCTGAATTATCTTTCCAAACTGGTCGTCTAGCCGCGTTATCATGCCGTAGTAGGTGGCTTTGACTTCGGCCCAGATTTCAGGGGTCGCTCTTGAGGTACCATACCGGGTTCGTATCTTTTGCATATACAGGGCCTCGTAGCCGGTCTTCTGAGCCGGATCCAAGACTGGGGTGACCTTGCTGCGATCATACATGGAAAAGTAGGGCTCCTCAACTTGGAATGGGCAATGCGGGAACATCAGAGGCATAAATAGGACCCATGGCTTATCGTCCGGAGGATTCGTCAGCCATTTCAAAGCGGATTTTACCACCGCATCGTCATAGTCGAGTGCTTCGTGGGGATTGCGTAACCCCTTGTAGAACAGTCGCCCCCAGATACTTTCGTCCCTTTCGGTGGAGGTGTCGCCTCCTCCGGCAAACTTTGGTATGAATTCAGGTGTCTCTAGAAAACCGTATTCTGTCACACTCAACTCGGTTACAGTTGGTGCAAAGGTATCTCCCCTTGGGGCGAGACAAGCGACATGGTAGCCGTTTTCTTTGAGGCTGCGAAAGACATTTGGCTCCCAGGGCTTGATGAGATTGGTCAGGCTTCGATGTCCACTGGTGTGAGGATATGTCCCGGTGAACATGCTACACCTCGACTGCGAGCAGACTGATGCCTGGACAAAACAGTTGGTGAAAACAGTGCCTCTCTTTGCGAATGCATCGATGTTGGGCGTTTTGATAATGCTCTCGGGGCCTGCAGTGCAATGCAAGGAATCATATCGCAGCTGATCAGGCATAAAGATGACATAGTTGGGTCTGTCTCCGCCATTCTTGGATTTGATCTCAAGAGGCAACGCCTTGAAAGGGGAAAACATGGAGTTGGTCATCTTCAACCAGGGCGATACTGGCTACAGCAATGATACCAGAAGAATGCAGAAGTGCCTTCACTTGTTTCAGCAACAAAGACGAGTCCTCGACCTTCGTCGTCGAATTTAACCTAATTTTACAAAATTCTGCCGCGAGAAACTGCCGAAGCCTCTGCCACTGTAGTGGCCCATGGACGAAAGCATCCACATGATATTGCGAGAGGATGATGACGACGAGCCAGAATTTCTACAGTCAACCTTGTATTGCCTAGAACAGATGGAGGCGAAGTTGAACCGATGAGCGACTCCCGTGCCGATGCCCGCGCCCGACTCCCGTGCTGAAATGACGGATGCTTCGTAGAGAGGGGACTAGATGCATGGGTTGCTGCGTCCCTTAGGTTCTCTTAAGCTTAAACTTATAAACATATCTCCAGAAACACGGAGATTATCGTGTCCTCCATGCTTGATCTTGACCTCAGTTCACGAGTAAATATGGCGTCATCGAAGAAACCGAATTTCCTGGTCATCGTAGCCGATGATCTTGGATTCAGCGATACCTCGCCCTTTGGAGGTGAAATAGACACTCCCAATCTGATGAATCTAGCTAGGGAGGGCTTGCGTCTGACTGATTTTCATACCGCTGCATCCTGTTCACCAACAAGAGCCATGTTGCTCTCAGGCACCGATTCTCACATTGCTGGTCTTGGGGCCATGGCAGAGCGAATGAAAAGGTTCCCAGATGTCTTTGCGGACAAACCTGGCTACGAAGGCTATCTGAATTTCCGCGTTGCTGCCATGCCAGAAATTCTCCAGGACAACGGTTACCACACAGTCATGTCCGGGAAATGGCATTTGGGCATGACCAAAGATATTGCACCTTGTTCTCGCGGGTTCACCAAAGTCCTTTCGACACTTCCTGGCGCCGGCAACCATTTTAATTTCGAACCGCAGCTGTATGATACGACGGAAAAGCCCCGGGCTTTGTTAAAAGGCAAAGGTGTTTGGATGGAGCATGATCAGTTTATTGACGGCGAACACGATCTTCCCAAGGACTTCTATTCCTCCAACACGTTTACAGATTACTTTCTGAAATACCTGCGTGAGCGCACAGACGATGAGAAAGAAAAACCGTTCTTTGGCTACCTCGCTTTCACCGCTCCTCACTGGCCGTTGCAAGCTCCTGCAGAGACGGTGAGGAAATACAAAGGGTGGTATGATGATGGGCCACTTGGACTACGTGATCGGCGGCTGAAATCTCTGGTCAAAAAAGGGATTGTCCCAAGCGATGTCGAGCCCGCACCGTTACACACCTTAGGAACTACGCCGTGGGCTGAGCTCTCAAAGGAAGACCAGGCGAGATCATGTCGAGCCATGGAAATTTTCGCCGCAATGGTTGACCTGATCGACGTCAATGTCGGCCGTGTGATTGAATATCTCAAATCTACGGATGAGCTGGATAACACGTTCATTGTCTTCATGTCTGACAATGGCGCCGAAGGACAGCTGCTAGAAGCCATTCCCATCCTCGCGGGCGCAACATTATCGGACGTTATCAAGAAATACTATGACAATTCTTTGGAAAACATGGGGAACCACAACTCTTTCGTTTGGTACGGGCCTCAATGGGCCAGTGCTGCAACTGCTCCATGCCGGGCAGCAAAGTCATACACTACAGAAGGCGGCATCAGGTGCCCATGCATTGTTAGGTACCCGCGGGGAATGCCTCACCAGCGGGAAGGCAGCATCGACAATACGTTCACCACAGTTATGGATCTATTACCTACCTTCCTCGACCTTGCAGGGATCAAACATCCTGCACCAACTTTCCGCGGGCGCGACGTTGCCTCTCTCCGCGGTAAGAGCTGGACGCCACTGTTGTCAGCGCCCACTTCCAACTCTGTCTCTGTCTACAACGGCGAGCAGGACATTGTTGGGTGGGAACAGCTTGGTATAGCTGCAGTACGCGTCGGAAATTGGAAAGCCCTTTTCCTACCCCCACCTCGTGGACCCGGCAGGTGGGAGTTGTATGATCTAAGTAAGGATCTAGGTGAGGTCAATGACCTCGCAGGAAAAGAACCCAAGAAGCTGGCGGAGATGATTGCACACTATGAAACCTATTTTCAAGAGACCGGGATGTTCGATGCATATGAGATGTATCAAAGTGAGCTGGCCAAGGTCAATCAGCAAGGCAAGGCTTGGTAGAGAGTCTGATAACGTTGTAAGTAGATATACACAATATACACAGTCTCGTGGTTTGGGGCTACTCTCAAAGATGTGACTTAATAGTTGAAACTTGACTCTATAGAACCGCTACTGACAGGAACAAAGAGGTAATCAATTTTCTATCCTCGAGACACATAGACTCGAAAATTCTCACGATCCGTACTATGTCGGCATTTCCGAACTGTCGGCGGTGTCTACCACTTCACCACAAGAACGACATGCTAACAGGGACTATCATTGTATCGTATCCAAGACAGAACCCATCCCATGCATAA